AAGGAGAAAAACTTGCTATAAAGCAAAATTGCTAGCTTGCACTTCTCAAAAGAGAAAAAGAACTCGCTATCTTGAACATCATCAAGAATTGCTAGCTTATCTAGAGAAGCAAAAGTGCTATATTGCCTATCTCAAGAAGCAAAACTTGCAAACTTGCATATCTAGAAAAAGAAGCTAAATTTGCAAACTTGCACAACTTAAAATTATTGCTAGCTTGTATGTTGTAAAACTTGCATATCTCAAAAATTTGCTAGATATACTTCTCCTTTTTGTTGATGACAAAGGGGGAGAAGTAACGATGATGATTTAAATCATGTGTAGTATTATATATTTTTATATTATGAAACATTGCATGATTTTCTGAATTTAAAGGTTCTATCAATATGACATATTGATAGGGGGAGTTAACTCCGTCATCAATTGGTTGTCATCATCAAAAAGAGGACGATTATTAAATCTTGAATTTTGATGATGAAACTAATTGATAATGTTATGATCTAATATGTGTTTTGAGTGATGCTATACTAGCTTCGATCAGGAAAAAAAATTAAAGCATGAAGAATCAATGTTTGGCCGGAGTGGAACATATCAGAAGATTGGATGTTGAGCTAGAGGATCGGTTGACGTGTCGACAGAAGGCTTAATCCCATGAGTTCGGGCATCGAGCCTAGAAGAGCAAACATTGCACCAAGGAGATCGAAGTTGTGGAGGTTAACATGTCGATTGGGCAAAAGAGGATGATGCGTCGAAGGATTGGACGAAGCGCTGATGAATCAATGACATGCTAGACAACATGTGATTAATGCTTTATAATAATTGTCTAGATTGAAGTAGTTTTAATTATAATTGGGTTGGTTTAGAATGTAATTAGGCCAATTCAATTAGAGGCCAACTCGGCCTAAAGTGGGACTGTTTTGGGCAAAGAAAAAGGCCCATTCAGCAACCCAAAAGTTAGGTTAGGCAGTGGCACCGCTAGTGACTCAGTCTCCGAGACATAGTCTCTAAGATTGTGACAAGCGATAGTACCGTCAGACTGGGCAGTGGTACCGTCCAATGTCAGTGCTGCAGGCAGTGGTACCGCTAGGACCCGGGAAACTTGGGATGAGACCTTTTTTGCTCCATTTTTGAAGCTATTTGGAGTCTATAAATACCCCAACTATTCTTGCATGAATAAGCATGAATTAGAGTAGAAATGGGTTATTATTATGGGTTATAAAATTGCTAAATGTCCTCCTCCTTGCTTTCTAGTTTTGAGATCATTCAAGAGAGGTGTGAGGCTTGTAAGGGTTGTCCTCTAAACATGTGAAAAGGAGAAAGAGTGTAAAAAAGTTCTTTTTGGCTAGAGGTTCTTTTTTGTTGCCTCCTCCTATTCTCCTCTCTCCCTCTCCTCCTTATACTACAACCCCTATTTGGGGCATATGGATAGCAAGAAAGGGCAGTCCCTTCTTGATTGCGTGGTGCGCGCGAGGAAGAGATTTGGACAGTGATTTGAGGAGCATCTTCATAGCCCTTACCATGTGGATCATTGCTAGAGAGTAGGACAGTTGACCTTCTTCATCCACTCCCACAAATCTGTAGGTTTTCAGGGATATACGATCTCCCTATGTAATTCTCTTATATGCAGTTTTTTTGGTTTCGTAGGTTTTTACGCACTAACTTTTGCACGACGATAAAACCTTCTTTTCTACAAGAATTCTGAGATTTTATTTTTTTGTTCTTCCATTATGCATGTGATGTCACCCCAGATTTTCCAATAGTGATATCGGAGCCAAGCTGCTCATGCAAAAGATTGGCTTTTAAACTGCGTGTGTTATGTTCAATCGTGTTGAAATTGTTTTACGCGATTGCTGCGATTTTTTGTTGTAGTTTTCAAATTTGTATTATACCTTTTCTTGCTATTAAGAGGTGTTTTTGATAGGGCTTTTGATGTCAAATTTATTGACACAAAAGGGGAAGAAAGGGCAACAATTGTTGCTGCCCCTTGGATTAGCCGAATGCTGCTTGCAGCCTTGGCCGAGAGCTCCAATTTATTACTCTCGGCCTAGCTAAAAATAGCAAGAACGAGAGTAGCATGGCTGCCCTTAACTTGCTGCATGGCAGCCCTTGTAGCCAAGAGTTCTGGCCGCATGGCGCACCTATAGCCCATGGCAGCCTTGTAGCCATAGTTTCCTGGCAACAAGGGACTCCTTGGTGGCTAGGGTTTCTAAGCCATACACAGCAGTCCAGTGGTCTAGGATTCCTAGTTTTCGAGGAGTCTCTATATGGTAAGATTTTCGTGCTTAAGAAGGAACTACATGCCATGTGGGGAACCTGCAATATGGGGCACCCTATGGTAGGGTTCCCAAAATACTACATATAATTAACTAAAATAGTTTAATTAATTATTATTATCTAATAGTCACATGGTGATGTGTATATGTGATGTATGATGTGGATGCATGATCATAGACCGTGTGATGTGATTATTATTATTATTAGAGTCTGCGAGCCTCTAATTTATTTCTCATTTATTATCGGGCCTACGTGCCTATGATTAAGTTGTAATTACATCAGGAGGTGCAGCGAGAGTATGGAAGCGATAGTGGAACCCACAAAGCCGAGACAAACGATCGCAAGATATGAAGATGCGTCGAGATGTCGATGGAACCGACGATGATAAGATGGACGATCACAGGGCATGGAGATGCGTCATTGCACATATAGATCTTGATGTGAGTGATCAAACTCACTGGCTCGGGCTTAATCACATTAGGATGTGATCTATGAATATCTGATGTGATTGCTCATATAATGTGTGATTGATTATACACATACTATATATGTATATATATTTGCATGCGATGTACATATGTGTTAAATATATATGTGTGTGGCACATTATATTAGGAGACTGAATAAAAATCCCCTCTTTCGATAATATTAAGTCGATAAATGTGAGGCAATTAGATTGACCTACATGGCCTTCCATCATTATAGGTAGGGACCAATTCCCGACGAGTTGGTCGAGTCCCTCGAGGCTCACCTATTTCATGATTCGCTATCTTGCCTACGACATAGAGATGTCACCGGTGACCTGAGGACATGGTATACTTCGTCGAGTCCCTCAAGGGTATATCATCGAATTAGACTCATCTTGTAACGAAGGTGTTGACTTAACCGAATATCATGGTTGGTTGAGTCCCTCGAGGTCATGATAGTTCGGAGGTCGAACAAGACGGGAATCATAAGAAGTTATGATCGGCAAGAGTTGTCAACCTTTTGGGCTTAGTGTGATTGGTCGAGTCCCTCGAGGTTATACTAAGACACTGATTGGATTCCGATCCCCGTCAGAAGTCTGTCGGAGACTTCCGTTTCACGTGCTGAGAGTGTCACATGACTCGCAAGAAAAATAATGGGAGTAGATTAAGAAGTCCATATCTTACTTGTTTATTTTTCTATAAAATTTACATGTTATTTATTTTTGCTACATCTTTATTTAAAAAGAAATATCATTTTTAAATCCCTTACGTGACATACTTGATGTCAACCGCCTCACTTGTCCAAATTATATGGATTGGCTCCGCAACTTGAGAAATGTTCTCACGACGGAGAAAATCGTGTACGTTATTGATATAGTGATGCCTATGCCCAAGGAAGGGGCAAGTGAGGATGAGATTGCTTACTACGTGAAGTATATAGATGACTCCACTCTTGCTTAGTGTTACATGTTGGGCTCCATGACTCTTGAGTTATAGAGACAACATGAAAAGATGGATGTCAGATCCATTCTCCTATATGTCCACAAATTGTTTGAGAAACAATGAAGGATTCAGCGATATGAGATATCCAAGAGTCTCTTCCACGCTAGGATGACTGAGGAGACACCGATTCATAATCATGTCTTAAAGATGATTGAGTGGATAGAGAAACTCATAGGTCTAAGAATGATCATAGATGATAATCTATATGTGGATCTTGTGCTTCAGTCCCTATCAAATTCCTTTTCATAGTTCATAATGAATTTTAATATGAACAAGCTTGAGGTGACTCTCCCTAAGCTCCTCAATACGTTGAGAGAGGCAACGAGCACTATCAAGAAAGAGAAGCAAGTTATCTATACTGGTGAGATCAGAAAGAAAAGGAAGACGAAAATATCCCTTAAGAAGGGCAAGAGCAAGGGCAGACTAGGTAAAACAAAGGTTGTTAAGAAAGACAGGACAAAGGATAAAGGTTAGTGCTTCCAATACGGTAAAGATGAGCACTAGAAGAGGAACTGCAAAGAGTATCTTATAGATAGGGCGAAATAGAAGCGTGGAGAAGCTTCAGGTACATTCATGATCAATCTCTAATTATCAGACTCTTATGATAACACATGGGCATTAGATACCGGTAGTGCTTATCATATTTGTAATTCATTATAGGTTCTTGTATTTCTTATAAAGGCATAAAGCAAAATGAAGTTCTAGAGTCAAGAAAAAGATTTCGTTAAGAGTTCAAGAGTTCGTCGAAAGTCCGAACATTCGTCCACACCTTGATTGTGTTATGTGAAAAGTGATATGGCTTTAACACCATGTTGTCGACACCTCGGCATTGTGGACGACATGCTAGCACTGACATCAGATGGCTGGCACATCGGCTCTTGGTGATCATCACATGACAAGCATGCGGACACTCCATGGCTCTTTCAAGTCCCACTAATCAATCATCCTCCATCGTCCATTCTGTAGCTCGTGTTACAATGTTACACCTTCGGTGCATGCACCCAAAATTGGCATACCACGTTTTAACGAGCGATGGACCATCCAAATGTAACTGTTTTGGAAACCCACTACAAAATCAGTTCCACAAGGTATGTCAGAAGAGACAATTCGAATTCGGAATACGTCCGACCTCTTCGATCAACTACTAACAAGGGTTTGAATTGGATTAACCAAGTTCGACTCGTGAGTGACTCGTAGCTTCTTCATACAACATATTAGGAGGACTCTTCTGTAGCAAATGTTCTGACAGCATGACTCGGTTTGCACAATGTACCAAAATTTTCTTGCTAACATGCATTAGAAAAAAAAAAGAATAAACAACCTCCATTTACTTCAGAATGTAGTACGACAGCATCGTACTCTGTGCAAAGCTTCCCCTCCAAGTTAGCTGCGTGATCTCCCTCGCCTTCCCTAAGCCATTGTTGCGCGCTCTTTCACCCTTTATCTCGATTTCCAATGCTGCCGCTGCCTCAGACGTGCACCTTCACCGTCTCCGCCACCGCCACCGCCACCGCCACCGCCATTACCCCACGCTTGTCTTAGACTGGCCATCCATTTCTCGAGCCCCTTTCCCCTCATTTGAAGCTACTCAGAGCATCGGTTGCCTTCTGCGATGGCAAATAAGCGGAAACGGCAGCGGAAGCGCCTCCGCCGCGTCCCGGCGGCCCTCAGGAGGGTATACGGCGACCTCGTGCAAACCCTGGAAGCGGCGATCCTTTCCCTGTTGCCCCCTCCGCCGTCCTCTCCTACCGAGTGCCGCTGCCGCGGACGCCTCTGCCTCGGCTGCGGGACGCCCGCTTATCTTCTCCGCCAAGACGATCCTCCGGACTACCGGATCCTACTGACCCGCGGCTTGTGCGTCCTCTCCTGCGACGCACCGCCTCCACCCAGGGTGTTTCACGGTGACGACGCTCCTCAGCGCGTGGTGAGCTGTAACCCTTTTCCTAATGGTGATTCGTCCCGAACGTTAGAGTTGTATCTCGTCTTAGGAGTTCGTTTCGGCTGGCTTCATCAGATAGCTTACGTGAATTGTGATGCATGAGAGTTTAGAGGGTAGCGACACGAGGGAATCATGCTTTAGTTGATGAAGGGTGTTAGCCCTTTTGTTTAACCTGTTGTTCTCCACGTTATTTAAATATCTCAAACTGGATTGTATGGTCGTATTTCATTGTTGGGGAGGGAGAGGAGAATTTCAAAACCAAAAGAAATCACGGATATTAATAATAAAACAATCGGAAAGTTGATGATTTAACAACTCTTGTCCACCTTCACTGAGAAAAATCAAAATTTTCATTATATGAGATCAATTATAAAACCCTTGATTTATCCATTTCTTTACTATCCTCTTAAATAAACACTTGGATTTACATTTTTTCTCTCCCCATCTCTAGAAATCCTAGAGAGCACTTTCTATAGGCACCCTAAAGAGAAACTCCAGAGTACTATAAGTAGTCCTCATGTCTTGTTTTTTTTTATAAAAAATCTAGAGATACATGAGATTCTTAGATAGAAACTAAATCCTATTTGTCTGAGTTTTCTTTTTCCATCAGGATTTCTTCTCGTACTAGGATTCCTTGTTCTCATGGGACATTGGCTTTAGGAATCCCAAAATATTTGTTAATTCCAATAATTTTTCCTTACTGGATATGAATTTTAAGGTTTCTGGCCTTTTATGTACCATTTAATCTACTATTTTAATGTGTATCGGTACCTCTTGATGTATGTTCAGTTGTTGTTTGGTATCGCCATATAATTTCCTTTTTCAGTTTTGCAAGAAATTAGTGTTTGCAGGCATATCTTTTAATCATTATTGTCTTGGAATCTTTGACTTGATTCTCACCTTGAATATTGTATTCTATGTTCTGACTATCACCTTAAGATGCTTTATATACTTTGTTTTTAATTTTTATGGATCAGATGTCTGCAACTAGACTTGAACACACTGCTTTAACCAAAGTGCTTGTTATTTCTGTTCTTCTGCCCATGGATGGGGCTCAGTGTGGTGGTCCAAGGTGGAAGCCCTCTCTCTTCCAGTTATGTGACATGTGACAATGTTGATGATCTCCGGTTATGTGATAAGACATGCTGTACTCTGTGGACAAGAAACTGAAGGAAGAACGAGAGATGAGTAATTAAAAAAGAAATTGTTTGGTTTTATGCCTGAAAGATCAGCTATATGAGTTATTTATATATATAAAAAGCTAATGGAAAAATATAGAGAGAATGCTGATTTCTTTATGATGTACATTGTCTTAGAGAAGTCTATGACACAGTTCTTAGTATTTTTGGGGTGGGTTTTAGAGGTGAAAGTAGTATTTAATAATTGTGGTGTAGTCAAAGCTATGTATTCTGAAGTAGTTACTAGGATATAAAAGCTTGCCTAAAGAGTTTCTTATTTACTTGGTAAAGATGAACTCAATAGCCATTTATAAGAAATGCCTCTATAATGTATGCAATTTTCAGTTATATTATTTTGATTGATGAGAGTTAAATTGCAATTAATTCTACAAACAATAGAAACTAAAGTATTTATGCTTGGTTAAACTAAGATCAAAAATATGAAATGAAATATTAGATATGCTAAGATAAGAAATGTGGGTGTAGTTTAAATGGATGGACAAGAAGTTCATGCAAGTTTTAGTTTCCTTGGAGTTTGGATCTTTTATTCAAGACGAAAGAGATTGGTGTCACACTGTATTTATAGGAAAAGCTAGGTGATTAAAATGGATAGGGTTGTTGGTTTTTTTGTGTGATTATTTGTGCACCTTAGATAAAAGGAAGGATTTCTAAGATAGTGTAACCATGGATTATAGTTATAGCCTTTTAGGCAATTAAGGAATTATGCGTTCAAAATATTAGTTTTCTTGGGTTGAGGATGCCTAGATGGATATATAGGGTTCCCAAAACAAGAATCAAAATTTTTTTATGAATAATTCAAAATTGTTTAAGATGTTGTGAACATGCCTGAATGAGACTTATGAATTCCATGGTTAGAATGAGTGAATAGATTACGATTAGTACTCTAAGGAGATGTAAAGAGAGTTCTAATAAAACTTTACTAATGGCAATGAAAAGAGACTCGAACCCTTTCAGTACAAGTAGGATTAATGACCTATACAGAGGTCATCCATGTAGGCTACCCCAAATAGTTGATACATTACAACTTGTTGTCATGGTCGTTTCCTTAGTGGTGACTTCTTCGAAGACTCCTTTCTCCTTCTAAAGTGAATCCTTTTCAATGGTTCAACATTATGATGCCATCATTTTAATAGGCTTTCCTCTATGAATGAAGTCCCTTTGTGTATGATAGGGATGCAACAAATCATTAGAGTTCTTGATCTTCCTCTCGAAGATCATTGGTAGTAAATGGATGAGCTTGGAGGTGGCTAGCCATTTGGTTGCTAGTGATGCTAACCTTGACATGGAGATGCCAATATGACAGGTTATAAATGGAAGGTTCTAGGAGCATGATCATTTAAATAGTTATCCGATGGTCAGATTTGTAACCTAGAATTGCAGGTAGGGTTATTAAAGGAAACAAGGGATAATTTTAGGATCACATTGGATTTCACATATAGTCTATGTAAGTTCTGCTAACTTATGCTGGTGTAAGCGTAAGGAGAGATCAAATCTTAGGGTGATGTCACTTGGCAATTTTGTCTTACTTGTGGTAAATGGAGAGGTATTTTAATAAATTAGAGAGATGGCTCTAGTATAATGGATTTCCTTTCCATGTCCTATCTAATGAAATAATATCTTTCCTTATACTTTTTATATTTTTATCAATTATTTCTTTAATAGAATGATGTCTCTTTGTTAAGCTATCTTTGATTACCTGTGGAAATTTGTAGGTGTGACAATTAAGATGTATTATTGTAATCATTGATAAGTTCTCTCTTAACATAAATTAATTACTATACATAATATATTATTTTATGTAGATAATTAATTTCTTTGTTTGTGTACTATGGTTCAGGAAATGATTAAAATTGATTTCCTTAATTATATGGATATGCCAGGAATTTTGCCAATCAATTAAATTATTAATTGATTTATTTCCTAACGAGTGATGTGATTTTTAGGAAGTAAATAGTTTATATTCCATTTTTGTGTGTGTGCCATAAGAAATAAATATAATATTTCTATCTTTGCTTGTGAAAGCAAAATAAAAATAAATTAAAAATAAAAATTAAATTACTATTTACCTTTCGAGGATATCTTATCTTCTCTTATATAAAGGGGCTCCTTCTCCCTCAGTTCTCATCGAGTCTCACAATGGGAGGGTTGAGGAAAGGATTTCTCGAGGAGATGATCTTGAGAAAAGGATAGTTAAGGAGAGGTAGGATCCTCTATTCTTTTTTAATCAACTTTAATTCATGTTTTAAAATCTTGATATTGAGATTTTATGATGCATAATAATATTTTAATTTTAAAATTTTATAATTAATAAATAATTATAATTGACTTGTGATGTTAGAATGATTATTTGATTTATATTGATATCTAAGCTTAAGTGAATTTTAATATTGATTTAATTATTAAAATTCTTGTTTTTGGATTAACATAATAGTTCTAATTTATTTAATTAGATATATTTGTGTTTCAAGAATTATGTGTGAATTTTTATGATTTAATTAGTTTTAAATTTAAGATTATGAATTTAAATTATTTAATTTATGGATTTTAGTTACTCTTTAATAATTTAAAATATTGAAATCTAATTTGATAAGAGGAGTCTAATTGGGGTCTGACTTGAGTCGGGTTGATATGCTAGAACGGGTCGACCCAGCCTTTATGACTAGGTACGATTCAGCTTATGTGGCCAAGTATGGCCCAGCCTTTGTGGTAAGGTACAGTCCAACTTATGTGGCCAGACACGACCGAGCCCATGTGACCAGGTATGACCCAGCCCATGTGGTAAGGTACGACCCAACCTATGTGACTAGGCATGACCCAGCCCATGTGGCAAGGTATGACCCAACCCATGTAGCCATGCATGGTCCAACTCATATGGCCAAGTACAACTTAATCTATGTGGTCATATACGACCCAACATGCAAGCTAGGCGTGACCTAGTTCAGTGGTAAGGCTCAGCCCAACTTGTGAGTGAGGCTCAGCCCGGTCCGCGAAGTTAGACGCACCTAGCTATGCAATTGGCACTAGACACATCATCACTCCTCTATCCAATCTGTTATACCTCAACCTAACTTATTACTTGGAACAAGCATGTATGTTGCAAGTGACTCGTCTAAGACTCGAGTGGGTTGGTTCAGTTTGGGCTAGCATTATACGTCATAGTCCAATTTCCTCATCCTTTATTGGTTTAAGCTCATTAATTGACTGAATCAGACATGTTTGATCGGTTTAAGTTGGTTTTGGGTGATTCTAGATCAACTTGACTAATTTAAACCTACTTGATCTAATTGAAATCAATCAAATCTAAATTAGACCAATCTAGGGTGATTCCAGACCGGTTCTAGAAGGATGTGAGGTTGGTTCCATTATGTCCTAATTGAATTGAGTTTGGTTTAAGTCAATTGGGCTATTCCAATTAGGGTTTGGTTGATTGAGGACTACTGAGAGATTGATATATCATAATTTTATGATTTGATGAACTTAAAAGCAAGGTATGCAATTTCGAATGGTATCGCCCGGTACGGACGGTACATACCGGTCCGATGGCATACCGGTACACGGACCGCCCACTACCGGGCGGAACGTTTAAAAGCGTCTCGTATCGGATGATACGAGGTAATATCGGGCGGTAACGATCGAAATTTCGACCGTTACCGCCCGACACAACGGGTTAACGATCGATTTCAATCGTTACCGCATTGTAACAGTGCTACAGTGCTCCAACGGTCAAATTGACCGTTGGAGCCCTTTCTCATGGTATTTAAACCCTCTTCTCCTTTATTTCACTCCATTACATTCTTATACTCTCTTAAACTATTTCAAACTCTTTTTTTCTCACATTTGTGCTCTTCTAAACTCTACAAAACAACGATTTATGACGAATATGATTCATGACGATCAGTCTACGATTAGCACCACATTGATGCATCAATGGCATACAGTGTATCAATACACTATGTCATGGGATCAATTCCATGATTGAGTCCAACAAACATATCATATTGATATGCAGATGTATAGAATCGAGGACCCCGATCCACTACCCGTGGAGGCCCGTCGTTCGTTTTGGTGGTAGAATCAGCAATCAGGTATATCTACATATGTGATTATTTAATTACTTTAAATTTTAGAGTTTATATTGTAACAAAATAGTCGAACAATTCAAATGATTTTTCTGTAGATATTTCAATATTTACACAAGGACAATCCGTAATGGACTGAAATATGAACCTTGCACAAGATATTCTTCAAAGCCCGAAAAAGATATGTGATATTATTCTTACCTAATTTACATTGATTTTTCTAAACTTATGCTATTACTATATTTATTTCTAACTTAAAAACCCTATCTTAACTTTTTTTTATTTTCAAGTATTTTCGGAGGGTTTTACACCTAAATTAGGTGTACCGCTTGGTATGCCCTAGCGTACCGCTCGGTACACGGTACCATACCGAGCCAACCTCGAAACACCGGTACGGTACGGTATTGCATACCTTGCTTAAAAGTTTTATCTGAAGGTGTCGTTTAGAAATGATTATTGATTTACTACTTTTTAAGTTTATGATATTGATATGATTGTTACCTTGTAGTATATGTGATTATATTAGTGGTCCACATTGGAAGTACAACCTATGAAAGGAACTACGGGCCCATCACAGTGCGGATTTACCAATGGACATAGTCTAACATATTATATATCAAGTATGGTCCTTCATAATATTTTATAATATTATTTCTTGGATGCATGCGTGAATAAATGGATGAATATAAATGAATGATCATGGTTTTTTATATATCCCTGTCGAGGGCAGGTAGAGCGATTCCCTTCAGGGATTAATGAGCCATTAGACGTGATGGTTAGACGGTTTCTCCATCAACTATTGGGAGGAATATGTCTCTATTTGGGCGAGTGAGAGATACCACTCCATCCGCTATTAGGAGTGCGATATGGGTTTTCTTTATCCGCTGTTGGGAGGAATCCATCCTGTGGAATATGTTTCTCCATCTGCTATTGAGAGAGTGCACCATCGAGTGTGATGCACACCTTTGTTATCTGACTATTATGTATGCGTTGCATGTGACTGATGCATGATTTTATTTATTACATAACAATTATCATTGTCTTTTTGATGCATAAGTTTTATGATGAATCAATATATTATCATTTCATATTAAATTATTGATATTTGTATATGTTTCACAGATATTGAAGATTATTTTTATGATTTTTCAAAGATTCCTACTAGCATGTGTGGTTGTTGATATGTTTTTATCTTATATTTATTTTTAGAATAATTCACTATCTTCTAATAGATCTGAGACTTGGGTGGAAGAAACTTATCATCACTTGTGGTTGTACCAAGAAGATGTGATACTGTTTCTTGTTAATAAAATATTTACTATTGTAAAGATGAAGATTTGAATTAAAGGATAAAAAAAAAAGTGTCTTTTGTAAATTATGAACAATAAAATAGTGATTTATTATTTTTTTTTAAATTTGAGATGTGACAATTATCACTTATATTGTTGTAGTTTTATGATTTAAGTATATGATGTACAATTTAAATAACATCTGATCATAACATGCACACTTCAAAACTCTATAAACGGTGTCGAGGAGATTATTATATCATGTCAAAGTCCAAAAGACTTGCATATTGCCGACACTACACATACCTAAGAGTTCTATTAGATATATAAGCATCCTACATGTATATCATAAGTACATGAGTGCATTCAATCCTTATGTCTTAAATCTTAATTTGTTTGGAACTACAATTAGTGTTGGAATTTGAATTCAACGTGATAAACATTGTAGAGTTTTGTGCTTCATATCTTACTACTGATGTTCTATCATATTTATGCCATCTTTTCAAGAATTGCTTGACACAAGAACATGAATACTCTGTATTTAGGAGCTTTGTATTTTGTTTATTCTTTCTTTCTTGAGTCTTACCCGTTGGTTTAATATTTCATTAAATAATTAATATATGTCCAGCTTGTTAGGAATGCAAGGGAATTGATACTAGATAACATGCTTGAAACCATGAACGTGTTATGCAATGGTCACGATAAGGTACACGTTACTTTATGTCATGCTGCAAAATATATTTCTCATTTATTTGTTTAAAATTGTGTTATACTTGCACTATTAACAAGTTGGTTTAGTAATTGGCATTTTCAAACTCATGTGTAAGCAAAATTTTTGAGATGAGAAATGTTATATGACACATATATTGGCTCACATTAGTTTGTGAAACATGCAATGGTCACAATAAGGTACACATTACTTTATGTCATGCTGCAAAATATACTTCTTATTTATTTGTTTAAAATTGTGTTATACTTGCACTATTACCTAGTTGGTTTAGTAATTGGCATTTTCAAACTCATGTGTGAGTACATTTTTTGAGATGAGAAATGTTATATGCCAACACATATATTGGCTCACAGTAGTTTGTGAAACATGCACTAATGACTTTTGTGCCACGTGGTGCATGTAAAGACAGCAACCACACCATCATCTGGTGTTGGAAATTTAGTATGCCTTGATGTATTGGTGCATACTACTTGTTATGTAACCTTCCTAATTTTTGTTTTCTAAATAAGAATTCCATCTCATATAAAAATAGGTAAGTTGGTTAGAGTAGAATAATAATTTGATAGTTTTAACTTTCAATTTATTTGATAAACAATAAAGAAGTGCTATATTAGTATTTATACCAAATGCATCCAATATAGTTGAGACAAAGTAGCTGTGTTGTAAGAAGCATAAAATGTCTCTCTTTTCCATGTATGCAAATCCTAGCCTTAAGTGCTCTAAGCCTCAATGTTTGAGCAGTTTGGCATGCTAGAAATTGTGTTAAAATTTATCTACAATTTGTGTAATCATCTGTTATTTGTTAAATTCAACAACCACAACAACAAGAAGCTGTAATGTCCCAACTATTTGGGGTAAGTTGCATGAATCTTCTCACTTAAACTAATTTTCATCATGTCTCTGGTAAGTTAGTTTTGCAGCCTACTATCCTTGTGGTGAGCAGCATCTATAAATAGGAAGTGAAGGTTTGGCATATTCATAGTGAATATGGGATCTCATTCAAAGAACAAGTAGTTCGAAGAACCAGAAGTTTTTTTTTTTTTTGAAGTTGTATGGCTAATGCAATGAAATGTCATTGATAAGCAGTGTTGAAGTTTTAAGAGGTTGGTGGGCAGGCTATAAATGAATAATCTTGAACTGTACAAGGGGCATTTTTGTTAGATCTGGTTACTGATTTAATTGGATTATATCCCATTGGATTTGTTCTAAGATAATCCATATTCCATTTGGTTAGTATTGGGATCCTTTATTTGGTCTAGAGTCTCTAGACCAAGGTTCGTAATTTTGTACTGTATCTGAGCATTGAGCTCAGCTCGGTATGGTACGGTACGGTATACCGAGCGGTATGTTCTGGTGTATCGCTTGGCATATATATATATATGTTTAAAAAAAAAGGTGATGTCACCTCGTTTTTTTGCCTGCGTGAGGAGAAGAAACCGAGGTTTCCTTCTCCTCGCGCAAAAAAGGGCGACGAGGCGACGTCGCCTTGTTTCTTCTACCCGCGTGGGGAGAAGAAACGTCGCCTCAACGACGCTCAGTTTCTTCTCCCCATGACGTCGTCGAGGTTTCTCCCCACGCGAATGAGAAGTCGCCGACAACGACGCCGAGGCCTCGTCATCTCAAATGAGGAGGAGGTGACATCTCATCTACAGCCGACGAGGGTGGCGACGAATCGGGATCGTCGAGGGAGAGCGACGGTAGATCTCCAAGTTCTCCCTTTTCTTCTCCCTCTTTTTTCTTCTCCCTTGGCTAATACCACCCGGTAGCGGGCGACGACGGTTGAAATCGATCGTCACCGACCGATTTAGGGTGGTAACGAGGCGGAAACAACCTCAATCAACGGTACCGCCCGGTAGCGAACGGTCCGTGTACCGGTCTGCTGGCGAACTGGTACATACTGCCCGGTACGAGCAGTATTATTAGAAATTAAAATCCTTGCTCTAGACCATATACAAACCTTAGTTGAGAGGACGAGAGGAGAAAGAGAGAGAGGTAGGGTGAGAGATTGAGGACCAAGGGAGGGAGAGAGACGAGTTGCAAGATAGGTTATAGTTTTTGGATTGGTTAAGGACAAGAAGATCATTATCAACTTGAATTGTTGGATTGGATTGATGTGATTTGGATCGCTTGAATGTATAAAAATTAAAATGTTCTATGCTAAAAGTTTTCTTTACCTTCATATTTCATAAATTATTTATCTGTTTTTTAAAAGCATATATGATAGATTGTAAACTTATTTGCTTGTAGCTTCTAAGATAGTGATGGATTTTGCTCCGGCCTTAGTACTTCAGTGATTACATGCAAATGCGGTAGATGGTAATATAAAGATAAAAACAAAAAAGAAAAACTTCACTTGATGAGAGTGCCTATGGATTTGAGATTAATTCCAAAATCCCATGAGATCTCCCTGATTGAATGAAGAATGAAATCGTGAAGGCAAAGAAAGCACACTTCAATTAGTGTCATATGATGTCTATTTATACATGGTGAAAAAGAGGATTTTTCTCAACTGAGCAATGAGATTTCCTCGTCAATTGGGGAAATCTCATCTGTTATGCAGTTAAGGAAATCTCTCTGTTATCAAGCCCCCGCAAGTTTGAGCTCCTGTCAAGGATGTCGATCTTGGACTGATGCAACAAAAATAGTTTGCGGGTTACAGACTTCATGAGTGAGTCTGCTAATTGATCAGCCGTATGTACATGAGAGACACGAAGTTGATGTCTGACAACTTGATCTCGCACGAATTGAAGTCGATGACAATGTGTTTCATGCGTGAGTGGAACACTGGATTGACACATAAGTAGGTAGCTCCAACATTGTCACAATATATTGTAGGAGTAATGGTAGAGCTAACGTTGAGTTCCTTGAGGAGATTTGTAACCCAATTGAGTTCAGCAGCAACGGTATCGATGACACGATATTCAGCTTCAATTGTAGGCCGGGCGATTGTCTTTTGCTTTTTAGAACTCCAACTGATTGGATTAGACCTAAGAAAGACAACATACCCTGACGTGGAGGTTCTATCATCAAAGTTTCCCGCCCAATCAGCATCAGCAAAGGCATGAAGATGAAGTGGGGTGTGTTTGCGGAGAAAGAGGCCATGATTGAGGGTCCCTTTGAGATATCTCAAAATTCGTTTAACCGTAGACCAATGCATAGCAGAAGGCTGGTGCATGTATTGAGATAATTTATTGACTGCAAATGAGATATTTGGATAGGTGAGAGCTAAGTATTGTAAGGAGCCAAGTACTTGTCGGTATTGAGTTGAGTCCGTAGTAGGACTGCTATCACATAATTTGAGTGATTCACTAGTAGAGAGAGGAGTTGTAACCTCTTTTGCATCCTGTATTTTTGTCTTTGATAATAAGTCTTGAATATACTTTCTTTGTGATAGGAGGAGACCTGAGGATGTAAATGTTGCTTCCACTCCCAAAAAGTAGCTCAAGGGTCCTAAATCTTTGAGGGAGAATCGATTAGTCAATTGCTTTAGAAATGCCTGAATCTCGAAAGGATCATTGCTTATGACAATAATATCATCTACATACACTAGAAGATATATTGTATTTCCATTTTGTTGTCGTAGGAATAAAAAGGTATCAGGCTTGGAGTTGATGAAGCCAGTTGATATCAGAAACGATCCAAGTTCAGTATACCAAGCTCTTGGAGCTTGAAGGAGTCCATAAATGACTTTTTGTAGTTCGCAAACATGTCTCGGATACTGGTGATGAACGAAGCCAGAGGGTTGCTACATAAAGACATCTTCAGTTAGAGTCCCCTGTAAAAAGGCATTATTAACGTCCAGTTGTCGTAAGTGCCAGCTTTTGGAGATGACCAAACTTAGAATAAGCCGAATTGTTGTAGGTTTAACTACGGGACTGATAGTCTTTGTGAAGTCAACTCTAGGTCGTTGATGAAACCCTTTGGCTACTAAACGTGTTTTATATCTAGCAACGGACCCGTCTGAATTCTGCTTAATTCGAAAGACTCATTTACACCTGATGATGTTTTGTGAAGGATGAAAAGGTACAAGAGTCCATATAAAGTTATAGAGTAGAGTATCATATTCTTCACATATGAGTTTACGCCAGTGTGGAGATTTTTGGGCTTGAGTAATTGTGGTAGGTTCACTGGTCTCAGGAGAGGATTTTATAATAGCATGTAGGTCGAGAACCTGACGTGGTTTAAAGATACCACTTTTTGAGCGTGTTGTCATTGGATGTCTAGGAGCTGTAGGTTGTGTTATTGGTATGGGTGGTGGAGAGGCATTGACACGGGTCGGGGTAGGCTGAGATACATCAGTGGCACTAGGTAAAGAAGGTTGTTGTGTTTCTAAGGATATTACTTCATTAGTAGGTGAGGCTTGTGAAGAAGGAAGAGGAGAAGTAATGGAGGGAGTGAGGAGCTGTTGAACCGGAAGAACAAAAGTGTGGATCGTTAGAAAAGGGATTGGAGGGTGTGGTGAGAGGTTCGTTTGAGGGGATCGATGGTATACTCCAGTGATGTATATTTGTTGGAGTAGCTTTTATGGTAGGAGACTCATGGGTTTGAAATGGAAAGGCAGACTCCACAAAAATAACATGACGTGAAATAAAGACTTTTTTAGTTTTGGGTTCGTAGCATCGAAAGGCATTATGTTCAAGAGAATATCCTATGAAAATGCAAGGCTTAGATCTTGGTGTTATCTTATGTGAGGCATAAGGACGTAGCCATGGATAACATAAACAACCAAATATTCTGAGTTTTTGAAGGTTTGGGGATTTGGAAAATAGTTTTTCAAATGGTGACTGGTATTTGAGGACTAGAGTGAGCATACGATTAATAAGGTAGATGACAGTTTGAAAGGCTGCAGACCAAAAGGTTGCTGGCATGTTTGATGTAGAAGTGTGAGACCAGTTTCTACGATATGTCGATGTTTGTGTTCAGTAGAGCCAATTAGTTGAGGAGTGTGGCGGGGTAACTTAAGGTGTTGGATGTCA